GGTGAATTCAACTTCTCTCAGTAGACGACTTTAACAAGGCTGCTGTAGTGACAAGCGGCGGCGATACGTTTTATACGGTCCGTGAAGCGAACCTCAGTCTGTTCAATCAAGCCTTCCTAGTTCCAGAAGTAGGCCGGGCGTATAAAAACGCTTTCGTTTTAATTAGAACTGACTATAAGCCGGATACCGACGTCATCTCAAAGCCATGGGTGTAGCGCTCAATGAAACACCCTAACAATTCCCAAGGGAAAGTCGAATACATGGCGCAATTCTAAGAGGCTATTCAGCTTCGATAATCCTGTCCTGATCTTTCAATACCAATTCAGGTTCCATGCACTATTTTTCTTCTGAATTGATCTAACTTGAGTTTAGTAAGTAGTAGCTTGATTTTTTAAAGCAATTTTCTTTTTGGAATCGATTCAATTCAAAAGTTGAAAAGCAATCGATTTGGGTAATGATGTGAAAAGCGATTTGATTGCGTCTTCGATAGACCGATGATTGTTCAATCGCAATCCAAGAGGAGCAGGGTACGGTACCGATTGGACAAGCATTCTCGTTGTCGGCAATCGATACCCAAAGAAACCAGTCCTGCCAGTTACAGCTGGAATTTGAGCTCTATCTCATAGGCAGCCTTTTAAAAAGATTAAAAAGCAGTGGAAAAGTATAACCACTTGTATACCAGCCACCACCCTATTCGTTGTATGCTAACAACAATGTAAACAAATCGTCTCAAGTGTCTTACATTACCCTAGTGAGGCTAAGTGCCTTTGTAATCGGTTTCGTATTATTTGCTGACGATAGCTGTTCCCAGTGACAAGTCGATCTCAACGAGGATTATAGCTAACCTGACCAGTTACGGTAACTAGTCAGCTAACTAAAGGGTCAGGTGTCAAGTAGACATTGTTTACAAATGTTTACATAAGATTAAATGGCTACGGAGCGATTGTTTTTAGACGAATTATGGTTTACTGTAAATATTTCACTCCAAAACAGAAACATACTCTATTTGTTGAAAAAAACGCGAGCTGAGATGAAGAATCGTAACCCAATCGGTCTGGAACTGATCCATCAGGCTGGAACTGATCCATCAGGCTGGAACTGATGAAACACCTGACGAGTATAGTTGAAAACTCTGGAGATACCTACTTCTTTGATTAGTACCCTACGAGTTCAAGCATTTTACCAGCTCAAATGCCAAATGTGGCAGAAATTGATTTAGTAAAACAAATATTGGCTTCAAATTCCTTTCATTTTCCTTTTTTGGACAGAAAAGACCGATTCTTTCGATACGACAGTCATGGGGCGACATCGTAATATGGAATTCGGAAAGATAGGCTAGTCGTGTCAGGTTTGCTGACCTACCTAGCTAGGAAGGTCTTAATGAAGTCAAGGAATTGCTTTTTGGGCCAGCCAACCGGATCCAATCATGTGCACTGGATTACGCCATGATTTTGACTTCTTTCCAGAGAGGCATCAATTCTCGGCGTTGATCAAACCCGTTTCTGGGATGCACCCCGCATCCGACTTCCATTCAGAATCGCTGTGGCAGCTTGAATGGGTATAAGGCCTATACAATGAAATGCACTGGCCGTCCGTTGTATAAGCCAGAAATTTTATCCTCTCAGACAAACCCTAGAGGAATAGAAGGTTTGGAGCCTCTGGGCGGATACCGATCCAGGATTTGATCACCTGACCAAGCGTGTTTGGTAATCCTAACCATAATTCTTGACTATACATCTCCTCAGCGTCAAAATTCATTTTTCACCACTGAGCTTCTGTTTGTATGGCCTTCAATAGTCTAGCTGAAAGAATGAATCGATAGATCAGTTGAAGTCTTCGTTGTTTCAGGTGAAGTAGCTGCAGGCCTATTTCTACAGCCGTTCCGCAAGAGCAAACGAATTCGTACCGCTTTTTCACCTTCGCAATTGTTACAGCTGGAGCGTGCTTTCGAAGGTAATCACTATGTGGTCGGAACGGAACGAAAACAGCTTGCAAATCGACTGGCGCTTTCCGAAACACAGGTAGGGCCTTCCACAACTTGTTTACGCTTGTTTACTTTAATTCAATTAGTTTTTCATTAGTTTTTCTATAATCATACAGCTAGATGGGGAGGACAAAGCAGAAATCTTGGTCAATCAGAGAAGTACCACCGTGTCCCTACACCAGAGTCAAACTTCCTCCAAAAGCTCATCGCTGCAAGATTTCGTCGATGAATGACGATCAGCTAGTTCATTGACTAGGCCGCCACCACTGCACTGTTGATCCCATCGCGAGCGCGCGACAAAAGAATACGGTAACCTGATGCGATTACACTGTTCAAGTGTCATTATGGCGGTAGATAGCAGTCAGCCAACCACCGCGACAGCAGCACTAGCACGCTCCCTCCGTCGCAACCAGAAAGACAGTCAACAGCGCGACGTTGCGATGTCGCAGGCGGCGTCGCGCGGCGCCATATCGTCTCCATTTCACGGGGCTTGTGTTTGCGCTCGATTGAGCTCTTCCTGACTGAATGAGGGGGCTGACGGAGATGACGACATGTAACGGCGATCAAATTGACTACATTATTCGGCTAATCGAGACTTGATCGATTTCAGTGGTTCTGAAGAGCTTTCTTGGACAGTTTTCAATTATTTGTGGGTCTAAGTCGTAAATGAAGGAGAAGGATTAGACCGCAGATTCAGAAGGGGCGTGAAATGGCGCGAAGGCGTAGGATTATGGAGAATTGTCTGTATGGTTCGTTCTGGCCCGAGCTGCAACGAAAGCATGGGAATTTTGTCCAGCAAACTTTGGGCTCTCTGATTAATCAAGTCCAGTAAACAACTATGCCCTTTAATTGGGATCAGTCGAGTTGTTGAGAAGTTGAAGCTAAAAGTGGGGTTCAGTTCTTTGATGTGCTCAACGACCCTGATATCAACATTTTAATAAGAAAGGAAGGAATGAAATAGTCGGACGAGTTTCAACCAATGGTCCAGTGTAGGCGCAAGGGATCGTTTTCGGCCGACACACCGTTTCTGTTTCTGCCAAGCGTTCTTAAGGATCTCGGAAATGAAGAAGCTAATGTATTTCGGTGGCGGTGGGATGTTTTGGGTTGCGTCTAGCTATTTCACTTGGATTCAGAGTCGTGGTGGCGTTTGAAGGCATTTATGGCTGGTACATTGCCTTGCAGGGGTCACCCCGTTTACCAGTCAGTGCTTTTACCCTTCCAGACAAGTCTGGTAGGACGGCAGAGCGATGGAATGCTTGGTTTCCTGAGGAAGGATCTGAGGGTGCTCTGGGGTGGAGAGGGTTAGGGAGGGCTATGTTCGAGGTTGATGATCCCATTTGCTCGGTAGTGCACCACTTTCACCCATATCGTAAATAGAAAAGCATTTCTGCTGCACTTAGAATCGCTGTTTTTATTATTTTTAAGGTCATTACCATTTACTTATTACTAGAAGCCTATAAAATCCAATAAACTCACTACTTTAGGTGAAAGTATGGTTCCAAAATCGGCGAACGAAACACAAACGGGTACGGATCGAAGGACAACCACCATCACCATCCAGTTCACCACGACTTCATGACGACGACACCACCCTATCGCATCAGAATTTACCCGGATCCGCTATCCCAGCAACAGCTCAACCGGATTATAGCGATGGGAGCGGGTCATGATAGCGACCGCCGCCGCTCCTGTGTCGATTTTTGTATTACTGTATGAGAAATCTGTGATCTGTTGGATTATGTTGATTCTTGTTTCCCTCATTTATACGCTACACAGTCATTATGTACATGAATAGGAAATTATCGATTTTCTTTTCGGTGACCTACTTAATTCTTATCGTCTGACAGCTTTAATGGAACAAATTCCAAATTATGAGGCTATTGATTTGAGTGAGTGATATTTTTGTTGGCACAATAAACTTGTTTTCTTCTTTTCTTTCCTTTAACAATGGTATGGCCGTGGTTGCGGGCGGTTGCCGCTAATTAGCGTCTCAAAGAGAAAATTAGCAATCGCTAGAGTTAAACAGGCATACCGGTAAAAACTGTTCGTCACCGATTCCTCTTTCAAGGGCGAACCCAACCATTTCTGAGTTCCTCAAAAGAATACTAGGGATGGTAATTCTTATGGTAAAGTAAATTTCAAGTATTAGAGTATCAAGTATAATTTTTCCAATAACTATAGGTTGAGCGCTTTTGTGGCTGTGAAAACGCGAGGTCTCAAAGAGCTGTCGAAGAGCTATTAGCAGTTGGGCAGTTGGATGCGCCACGCGTCAAGATCCGATCAGAATCGAGGCGACTTTTGTACGAGGCAAGCAAAGAATACTATGTTAGTCGTTTATACAAGGGTATCATTCTACGGGTGAAAAAAATTGCAAGCATACTGCCGAGGTTAGACGCTCAGTCTCGAAAGTTGTTACTGATTTACTTGGGTGGCACAACAATATCCATCTAGCAGAGTTTTGTGATTGTTTATGAATATGAGTATGCAGAAGATATGAGAAGTCAAAGTGAAAGCACCCTCGAAAAAGGCATGAAAAACACGATCTTTGACGGGTGTTTCTAATTCTAGGCCTGCCTGGCAGAAGCTGGCTGTCGATGAGTTGATAGGTATTGACCGACTCGATGCTGGCTTGAAGTAGGGGTCGTCTACCCATAATCAGGAAATAGGGCGCCTTTCACTCCATCCAATTTTTTTTCACATTTGTGTACCAATTTGTACATGAAAGATGATTCTTTTCTTCTTACTCAAAATTACTACAGCCACTCCATGTTTTCAATCATCGGGTGTGATGGTTTCACGAGAACATTCTGTTCATATTAGAAAGGGCGGTTCCCAGGTTTGTTTTGGTGGGAGTTCGTGGGTGTA